TAATATACACATACATATAAAGAGAAAAGAAGGAAGGAGAGGAATTAGTGTCAACTAAGGTAACCATTATTAGCATATTTTACCACATCATCAAATGAGTATCTTTGTTAATTTTCTTTCATTCTTGTTCTTTATTTTTATTTATTTATTTATTTTGAGACAGAGGTCTCACTTTATTGCCCTGGCTAGAGTGCAGTGGTGCAAACATGGCTCATTGCGGCCTCAACCTCCCCAGGCTCAGGTGATCCTCCCACCTCAGCCTCTGAAGTACGTGGGACTACTGGCACACACCACCACACCTGACTGACTTTTTGTATTTTTAGTAGGAAGAGGTTTTGACATGTTGCCCAAGCTGGTCTTTAACTCCTGGCTCAAGCAATCCACCTTCCCTGGCCTCCCAAAGTGCTGGGATTACAGGCATGAACCACTGTGCCTGGCCCATTCTTGTCCTGTACTTTAAAATACTACTTTCCCCTCTTTCTCTGTCCTGTCTGCTGTCACAGTGGCATACAAAACATACACGGGCTCTGTAGTGACATTTAGAACCAGGGAACAACTGAACCCAGAGCTAGAAACAGTACTTGAGCTCTTGAATACATAAAATACATTAAGAACCATTATTTAGGATCACACTGAAACTGATACTCAGGATGCATTTATGCTATTAAAAAATTGCAGCAAATCACACTGCTATGTGTGTACCTATGCAACAATCTTGAATGTTCTTCACATGCACCCCAAAACCTAAAATGCAATTAAAAAAATAATAAAAATAAATAAAAATAAAAAATAATAAAAATAAATTAAGAAAATTTAAAATGATAGCAATTATATCTTAAGCCAGTACTTCTGAAAAGTTTGCACTGAAATGGTCCTTATGATAGCCAAGAGTAAACTTGGACTTCTCAGCAATCTTATGTATAAGACTTGTATAAAAGAATCTGTTTTAAAACTTGTGGTAATTCATTACCAAATACAATAAAGATTTCATAAAATCACTTCATCTTTATTCCTGTCTGGTTTCCTGGATGCTGAGGATAATATTTTTTAAAAAGACATGTTAAGTATAATATACTTTTTTTATATTTCATTGCTTTATTAGAAATCTTTTTTGTAAGATAAACAGCAATGTACATTATCCTCTCTTGGATACCAAAATGTGTGGATTCTCAAGTCCTTGTATATATAACATATTTATGAACACACATTTATAATGGAGAAAAGTATGGATATGAATAGTATTCACAGTCACATGAGCAGAGGCAAAAATAAGTACAGAACTAGTCTTTTTGATTCCAACTTTCCTGTATTGGTAGAATATATTTCATATTTTTTGGATGCAATTAGTCAGCTAGGCAACTTGAAATAAGTCGATGATGTACTTTTGTTACCAACATCTATAACCATCTCCTTTTCATTCTCACATGAATAAAAAACAATATAATGAAGCCTTCAATTAACTTTACATATACATTCATAGAAATTTAACAAATCAACCTAAGTAAATCATGTAAATCCAGCCAAGCAACCAATTAAAACCCCAAAGCAAAATCAAGCTGAAATTCTATTTTGCCATTATGAGAGTCAATCAAATTTAACTTAAGGATAAAATTGATAATCTTTCAAACTAGGCCTATCTAACAAATATTTTAATAACGTCTTTAAATTCTTACATTTTAAAATTTATACTAATAAATTTTAATGTGTATATTTAAATATTTCTATGTGTTTTTGTAATACCAGCATCATGAGTAGACTATTTCTAGAGATTTTACCTTTTTTGCTGTAGAAGAAGAGGGTTCCTTTTTCATACTTCTTAGTAAAAACTCTGGCATGTTATTTTCAATATCCTCACGAGTTCCCTTTTTATGCAAAACTGCAGCCAGAAATGAAATAACCTGAGAAAAAAAGACTTTTTCAATCGCTGTGTATAATGTATCATGACGTATAAAATTTCACTGCTTACATGACTATCCAATAAGTGACAAAATATGTACAAAGGGATTTGTTGAGGGGAAAATTAACATGAAATGTTAGTACTGATTTTCTTTATTTGTAACAACGTTTTTTACCCTTGTAAACAAACAAAAATCCTCATATTGCCATCTTTTCCATGAAAGCTTCTACCTACCCAATGGATTCTTTCTTAATTCCATCACTTGAGACACTATCTTCTTATTTGTTTCTAACCATGGAAACTATCTCTTCATATCGTCTATTAGAATAAACTGTATACATTCCTGTTTCCATGTAGAAAAGAAACTACTTAAAGGGGATAATATTTGGTCCACAAATTTGTACACTTCTATTATCTAATAAATACAGGTGAAATGGCAAAATGTTATTTTAAGATAGACTAATTCATTAATATATACAACATTTTGAGTAACAGCTGGTCTCCAAAAATTAAATGAGAAAAACAGAAAACAAGGAATCATAACCTCCTGTAATAAAGAGCAAGAAATACTGAATTGATTAGACTGATTCAAATATTGGCTCTGATTGCTTGGCTGCTATTGAGAGCTTGGGCAAGGTAGTTAACCTCCCTGAATAATATCTGTAAAAATGGTAAAAAAATAATATTAGCAGGGTTGTTTTAAAAATTGAGAAGAAAGGTATATGAGGTATCCAAGTGGGAGAAAATAATTGATCATTACCTTACAAAATAAAGTATATAAGAAGAAAACTATATAATTCAAAAAACTGAGAGAATTAGAAAAACTATAGAAAAAAAGTATACTTAATAAGGGTGTGGATACCTATAATCTGAATCCCAAGTGATAGAAGGAAATAAATGATACAGGAGAAGTATCTGAAGAAATAACAGCTGAAAACTTAACTGATTTTAAAAATCAAGCCACAGATTCAAGATCTTCTTCTAAGAACCAAAACCAAAACAAAATGAAAACCAAAAACTAACAAAAAAACACAAGCAGGTGCTTCACTGAAACAACCTGAGACGGAAAATGTTAAAAGCAGTCAGAAGGAAAAACAGATTATCTACAAAAAAGCAACAACTGGTCTGGCCATGGTGGCTCACACGTGTAATCCCAGCACTTTGGGAAGCCAAGGCAGGTAGATCATTTGAGCCCAGGAATTCAAGACTAGCCTGGGCAACATGGCAAAATCCCATCTCTACAAAAACTACAAAAATTAGCTGGGTACAGGTGGTTCATGCCCATATTCCCAAGCTACTTGGAAGGCTGAAGTAGGAGAACTGCTTGAGCCCAGGGCAATGAGGCTGCAGCGAGTCATGATTGCACCACTGCACTCCAGCCGGGGCAACATGGCAAGACCCTGTCTCAAAATAAAAAAATAAAAACATACACAAATAGACAAGTAGCTGACCTTGCAGCAAAAACAATGGGAAATACTATACAATAGAATATTTTCAAAGTGCTAATAAAAGCAACCTAGATTTTTACATCTACTGACGATATTCAAGAATGAAGGGTAAAGATTCTCAGACAATCAAAAAGCAAGCCAATTCATCACCGCAAAAGCCACACTAAAGAAAGTAACTAAAGAACGTTTTCGGGCACAAGGAAAATGATACTAAACAGAAGATCAGTGACACAGGGAAAAAATTTAGAGCAACAAAAACGATAAATGTATACAAAATATATATATTAATTGACATTATCAAACAATAAAGTTTCACTGAAATCAAGTAACAGAAGAATTAAAAGCTATGGCAACAAACATATTAGTCGAAAGGAACACAAGTGTAGTTATAATATTCTGAGGTCACTATGCTGTCAGGAGGAAATTAAAGTACTAATTTATGTTAGATTACGATAAATCAATGATATCTGTCGTAATCTCTAAGGGTAACCACTAATAAAAGAATAAAAAAAGGTGTACCTAATAAAAGGAGATAATAAAGTAATATGAATCTCCAAAAGGACACACAAAAAGTAGGAAAATCAGGACATGGAATAAATAAAAAGCAAATAGTAAAATACTAAGTTTAAAGCCAAATATACTAGAAAGCACTTTATGTGGAAATGGACTAAATAGTCTAAGCAAAAGATAAAGATTGTCAGACAAATAAAATATATTTCCTTGCCATTTACAAGAAAAACATCTAAAAAAGACAAGGGATACAGTTCTAATTCAAAAATGAAAATAATAGACCATGTAAACAAAAATCAAAGAAAATTCAATACAGCTATATTCATATCAGATATATATGCTGAGGTAAAAATCATGAAATTAAAAAGGCACGCTTTAACTTAATATTGATAATAAAATTAGTTCACTTGGAAATTTTAAGAAGTCTAAATGTATCAAGAAAGAAAGAAATATTTACTGAAATAAAAGTAGACAAGTCTACAAGCACAATGGCAGACTTAAAAATAACTCAGCAGGAACAAACAAAATAATTAGTAAAAATACAGATTTTAATAAAATGATTGTCAAACTTGACCTAATGAACATTGCTAAAACACTGCACACTACTGCAAAGCAGTTTCATTTTAAGTACACATGCAATATTTACCAAAGTTGACATATGCGCAGGGCACGGTGGCTCACACCTGTAATCCCAGCACTCTGGGAGGCTGAGGCAGGCGGATCGCCTGAGACCAGAAGTTTGAGACCAGCCTGGCTAACATCGTGAAACCATGTTTCTAGTAAAAATACAAAAAAATTAGCCAGGCATGGTGGTGTGCGCCCATAATCCCAGCCCATAATCCCGGCTGAGGTAGGAGAATTGCTTGAACTCGGGAGCGGAGGTTGAAGTGAGCTGAGATCACACCATTGCACTCCAGCTTAGGCAACAGGAGTGAAACTCCATCTCAAAAAAAAAACAAGTTGACATATGCCAGGCCACAGAAGTCTCAATGCATTTCAATATATGGAAACCATACAGAATATGTTCCTTGATCACAATACAATAGAAATAACAAAAACAGAAGCAGAAAATCTTCAAATGTTTGGACAGTAAGGAACAGAATTCAAAGAGCTCACAATATAAATCATAAAATATTTGAATAAAATAACAATATATGTTGAATTTGTAGAATACAGCAAAAGCTTGTACCTTAGGGACTTAAATGAATATTACAGACAGTCCCCAGCTCATGACGGTTCAACTTGCAATTTTTCAATTTACGATGATGTAAAAGTAATATGCATTCAAAGAAACTGTAAAACAAGTACTCATACAATCATTGTTTTTTACTTTCAGTACAATATTCAATAAACTATATGAGATTCAACACTTTAGTATGAAATAGGCACTGTGTTCAATGATTTTGCCCAACTATAGGCTAATGTAAGTGTTCTGAGCATGTTTAAGATAGGATAGGTTAAGCTATAATGTTCAATAGGTTAGTGTATTAAATGAGTTTTCAACTTATAATATTTTCAACTTACAATGGGCTTTGGGGACATAATCCCACTGTAAGTCAAGGAGCATCTGTATTAGGAAAGAAGAGGGACTATCAATCAGATATCAAAGAATGTATCTCAAAAACTTATGAAAATAACAGAAAATTTAACACAAAACGCAGAAATTACTAAAGCATACAATAAAAATTAGAAATACCTAATGTAGATGATGGGGTGATGGATGCAGCAAACCACCATGGCACGTGTATACCTATATTACGAACCTGCACGTTCTGCACATGTACTCCAGAACTTAAAGTATAATAAATAGATAATAAATAAGTGAAAAGAAAATGATCAATGATGCCAAATAATCATCCTTTGAAAGAATTTTTAAAATCAACCCCTGGCAAAATTGATAAAGAAAAAAGAGAAGAGAAAAGGCAAACAAAAAATATGTATAGCCCATAATAATGCTTTGTCAATAAATGTGAAAATTTGGATGAAATGTAGAAATAGAATTTATCAAAACCGACAAAAAGGAAATTTACATACCCATAAAACCATGAAAGAAACCTAAATATGCAATTATAAACCTTCTACAAAGAAAATTAGGGGCCATATAGTTTCACCAATAAATTCTACCTAATGCTTAAGAAAAATATAATACCAATCTGTAACATACCCCTTCAGGATTTAGAAAAAGGGGAAAATATTCTCAACTCATTTCATGAGTTCAACATAACTTAAGAAAAGCTGACAAGAACATTATAAAACAGGAAATTTACAAGCCAAGTTCTCCTACTCATATAGAAACAAAACTCTTAAACAAAGTGTTAGCACAGGGAACATAGAAATTTTAAAAAGGATATAAATATACACCAAAGCTAAACTGGGTATATTCTATAAATGTAAGTTTGGTTTAACCTTCGAAATTTAAGTATTAGGTAGTTATAGCTAGATATTTTATGCAATACACTTAGCATTCCTAACTCCTAGATTCCTTCAAATGAGACTAGCATGACTTATTACAAGACACTTATATTTTACATGAAGCAGTACATTATTAGGTACACTGCAAAAAGTTCACAATGTGTATTTGATCACTAGAACAACCACTAAAAATATAAAGCAAAGACGTATAAAAAGTCAATAAAAAAATTAAAATAAAATTCTTAAAAAATACCATTATCAACCCAAAAGAAGGCAGGAAAGGAGTGGAGAAACAGAAAACAAGCTGTTCAAACTGTTCAAATCAGACTGTTGCTGAATGAACAGAAAACAAATAATAATATGTTATATCCGAATCCAAACATAACAAGAATTACATTAAAGGTAAATGAACTAAATATTCCAATTAAATATCAGAGATTGTTAGAACGAATAAAAGAGCTGTCTACACGGAACATTACATAATAATGAAATAGTCAATTCATCAAGAAGATGTAACAACCATAAAGGTCTGTAACCCTAATAACAGAGCGTCAAAATATATGAAGGTAAAACTGGTAGATTAAAAGAAATAGACATATCTGGCTGTGGTTCACGTGGTGGTTCATGCCTGTAATCCCAGCACTTCGAGAGGCCCAGGCAGATGGATCACTTGAGGTCAGGAGTTTGAGACCAGCCTGGCCAACATGGTGAAATCCCGCTTCCATTAAAAATATAAAAATTAGCCAGGTATGATAGTACATGCCTATAATCTCAGCTAGTTGGGAGGCCGAGGCCTGAGAATCTCTTAAAACACGATGGAGAGGTTGCAGTGAGCCAAGATCGCCACTGGGTAACAGGGCGAGACCTTGTCTCAAAAAAAAAAAAAAAAAAGAAAAATTCATACTCTTCACCCAGAAATTTGACTTTCAGGAATTCGATCCTTACAGAGAAATACTCTTCAGATTCTATCCTACAGATACTCACTATTTGTCATAGCCTAAAATATACAACAACCCAAAATGTCATTTTCCTTAGGTTCCTGGAGGAATGATAAAGTAAGTTACAGAACATATGATCTATAGTATGCAGTAATTTATTAATTAAGGGATGAGGACAATCCTTATGTATCAACATAAAAAGATCTCCAAGACCCATGTTTAAGTGAAAATTAAAAAAAAAAAAAAAAAACAAGGAGCAGAATAACATATGGAAATAATGATCCAATTTTTAAAATTTATTTACATACACATTAAAATTATAACTTGTTCAACAAAATACAAAATAGACTGGACTTCATAAAACTTTTGTGCATCAAAATAAAATAACAAGAAAATAAAAAGGCAACTACAGAATGGGAGAAAGTATTTGCAAATCATATATCTGATAAGGGATTAGTATCCTAAATACATAAAGAATTCTTACAACTCAATAAAGAAGACAACGAAATTTTAAAAACAGGCAAAAGATTCAAATATATATTTCTTTCTCTAAAGCTACAGAAAAGGCCCAAAACACATACACATACACACACACACACACACACACACACACACACACACACACAAAGGTGTTCAACATCACTGGCCATTATAGAAATGCAAATCAAAACTGTAATAAAATACCACTTCACACATAGTAGGATGGCTATAGTGAAGAAAACAAAAAATAACAAATGTTGGCAATGATGCAGAAGCCTAGGAAACCTAGACAATTGTTGGTAGGAATGTAAAAGGCTTTAGCCGTTGTGGAAAAATAGTACTGCAGTTCCTTGGAAAAAAAGAAACACTGAACTACCATAAAACCCAGTAATTCCACTTCTAGTAATTACATACAAGAGAAATGTTTGTACACAAATGTTTACAGAAGCATTATTCATACACAAATCTTCTACATACAAGAGAAACATTTGTACACAAATGTTTACAGAAGCATCATTCATAATAACAAAAAGGTGGAAACAACCCAAGAACTAGAAAGCGGTAGGAGTTGCACAACATTCTGAATGTGTTAAATGCACTCAATTAACATTGAAATAAATTCAAATAATTAATTTTAAAATTAATCATTTTAAATAATTAATTAATGTTGTGTGGACTTAACCTCAATTTAATAATTGCCAGCTGGGGGTGGTGGCTCTTGCCTGCAACCCCAGCACTTTGGGAGGTTGAAGTGGGCAGATCACCTGAGGTCAGGAGCTAGAGATCAGCCCCACCAACATGGTGAACCCTGGTCTCTACTAAAAATAAAAAAATTAGCTGGGTGTGGTGGCACAAGCCTGAAGTCCCAGCTACTCGATAGGCTGAGGCAGGACAATTGCTTAAACTTGGGAGGCAGGGGTTGCAGTGAGCTGAGATCACGCCACTGCACTCCAGCCTGGGTGACAGAGTTAAGACTCTGTCTCAAAAAAAGAAAAAAAAAAAAAAATTCGAGCTTGCATTTTTATAAGAATGCATTTGTGTATTATGGTGTAACCAAAATTATTTTTATTCTAGAAGAAAGTTTAAAAGTACATATGTCAAGTCAGTGAACATCAATGACTCAATAGGCAGTAGCTATTTTATTGTACTTTAAGTTCTGGGGTATATGTGTAGAACATGCAGGTTTGTTATATACGTATACACAGGCCATGGTGGTTGGCTGCATCCAACACCCCATCATCTACATTAGGTATTTCTCCTAACGCTATCCCTCCCCTAGCTCCCCATACCCCAACAAGCCCTGGTGTGTGGTGTTGGGAAAACTGGCTAGCCATGTGCAGAAAGCAGAAACTGGACCCCTTCCTGACACCTTACACTAAAATTAACTCCAGATGGATTAAAGACTTAAACATAAGACCTAACACCATAAAAACCCTAGAAGAAAATCTAGGCAAAACCATTCAGGACGTAGGTGTAGGCAAGGACTTCATGACCAAAACACCAAAAGCATTGGCAACAAAAGCCAAAATAGACGAATGGGACCTAATCAAACTCCACAGCTTCTGCACAGCAAAAGAAACAGTCATTAGAGTGAATCAGCAACCAACAGAATGGGAAAAAAATTTTGCTGTTTACCACATTCCCCTCCCTGTGTCCATGTGTTCTCATTGTTCAACTCCCACCTATGAGTGAGAAAATGTGGTGTCTGGTTTTCTGTTCTCATGTTAGTTTGCTCAGAATGATGATTTCCACCTTCATCCATGTCCCTACAAAGGACATGAACTCATCCTTTTTTATGGCTGCATGGTATTCCATCGTGTAATATGTCACAATTTCTTTAACCAGTCAATGATTGATGGGCATTTGTGTTGGTTCCAAGTCTTTGCTATTGTGAACAATGCTGCAATAAACATACGTGTGCATGTGTCTTTATAATAGAACAATTTATAATTCCTTGGGTATATGTCCAGTAATGGGATTGCTGGGTCAGACGGTATTTCTAGTTCTAGATCCTTGATGATTGCCACACTGCCTTCCACAATGGTTGAACTAATTTATACTCCCACCAACAGTGTAAAAGCATTCCTATTTCTCCACATCCTTTCCAGCATCTGTTGTCTCCTGACTTTTTAACGATCGCCATTCTAACTGGCGTGAGATGGATTTCAATGTGGTTTTGATTTGCATTTCTTTAATGACTAGTGATGATGAGCTTTTTTTCATGTTTGCTGGCTGCATGTCTTCTTTTGAGAACTGTCTGTTCCTATCATTCACCCACTTTTTGATGGGGTTTTTTCTTATGAATTTGTTTACAGTCTTTGTATAT